GTTATAATTAATTTAATATTTTAAGGTTCACATTATTATGGAGACTTGGATAAATGCAATGATATAAGAAACATATTCATAATGCAAATAATACTTTTCGGATTAGTTTTATCTCGGTTTACTCAGAAGCAATTATTGCGAAAACATGATAAGATTAAAATGTGTCTATTTTTACTGTCCATGGTTAAATGTTTATCAATTTTCATTATAGCTTTAACAATTTGAATGAATGTAAAATAAGATTTCAGAAACTTGGATTTGCTTTGGGTATTTGTATTTTTTTGTTTTCATGAAGCAATGGGGTTAGTATCCACATTCGACGCTGAACTCGTAGATAGCAACAGAAATCCACCGGACTATTCCCTAATTCGATAGAATTTATCGCATTCATCGATTGAATCATCACAAGTTTTAGGTGCCAATAGATTTAATTCTTCTGAATATATGTAAGAATTAAATATTCGTATTTTAGTGTTCCTAGCCTTGATTTACTGTTAATTCACAGTTATTAAATATTAATATGTAATCATTAATATTTACCTATAATTTCATTATTTCATATACATTTATTATTATTTTATTGTTAATTATGCTCGATCCCTATCTAGCACCACCCATTCCTATTGTAATCCAAAATAGTAAAACGGCAGTGGCCTCTGGACCTTTTGTAGTATGTATATATTAGAGTTCTGGCAATGACCAGATACTCCACTGGTATCAATAATGCGTTTGAGAGAGTAGGGACCTTCTGGAATTCTGCTTTTCTCTCTATAGTTGGAGGGTTAAGCCTGGTTTGGAGTCCTTGCAAATAAGTTCTATCGGTTGTTTTGTTGATTTGTATGTCGCTATGATACACTTCTTATCTGATGAATTAATTCCTAAGGTGGATTGTTTATCCTGTTTATAATATGTCTGTTAACTCTTGTTGAAATTAGCTTAGTATTATGTTTGCAATTGCACTGTGAATATGGAAGAAAATTATCATTCATTATCGGCATATTTTGTTGTGTGATTTTGAAAAATGTTAGCGTGATGCAGATTCTCATAGAACAATTTGAAGTGTTTATGGGGATGATAAACCGAATGCACCTTGCAAATTTCAATCAGGAAATTTTGACATCAATGATGCTTAACGGTCTGGTCGCCCACCTGAAATTGAAACGAGCAATGTTAAGGCCTTTGTTGATCAAAATCCCACCTAATCTGTGCGAGAGATTGCTAGGGGAATAAATGTATCAAGCGTAGAAAACCATTTGCGCAAGCTCGGCTATGTTTCCAGGCTTAATGTTTGGGTCCCTCGCATGATTTGTTTTCGAAAATCACAAAAAAAAAAAAAAAAAAAAAAAAAAAACCGATATAGGAAAATCACAGCTTTCCAACGCATATAGCAACATCGAATTTGGAGAACATCCTGAAGAGTTATGAATGGTCGGAAAGGTGTTCTGTTTCACCAAGACAACACTAGGCCCAACACCTCATTGGTCACTCTCAATAAACTATTGAGGTTTCTTAATTGGTAATTGGTTGACTGTCGTGGATAATGAAGAGAAGAATAGTTGGGGTGCTCAGTCAAAAAAGGAAGGCAAAAAATAAATTATAATATTTATTTTTTACATATACCGACGTTTCGACCTGAAGTTCAGGCCATCATCAGGGCTTTCTCAGGGGAAGAATGATTCTTCCCTTGACACTTAAGGAGAAAGCCCTTTCTATAAACTTTCTATAATCAGATTATTGTTTACTTAAAAACGGCTATTTACTGCATTAGGTTAACTTCGTGTATATCACAATTGACTTATTTGTTAATGTTTTAATTTTAAATTAATTAAAGATTAAAAAAAAAAGGTGAATCAGAAATAAATAAGTCGTAGTAAGAAGAAAAAAGAGAAATAAATGGAGTAAGATACGAGAAAATGAGCAAGGAGAAAACAAAGGTATTTAGATAATTTGAAAACGAGCCAATGTGGCTTAAAACGGCGTTTCATGATGGTTAAATAAATAGAAGATGAATTTATGAGAGTAATTATTTCTTTGAAAAACTCTGTGATATCTATTAGGACATTTTGTTTTAATAAGGAAAACGAACGTTTAAATAATATTTAAATATCAAAAATATTAAACCTTGGGGACATATATATTAATTAATTTTATAGGATACCAATTTGAAAATGGGCCAAATGACCCGAATAACAAAAAATAAAGGAAGAATTATTATAACAAAATTTGAAATAAAATTAAATAAAACTTAAAAATTTAAAAGAACACATTCATGATTAATAAAGGAATAAAATTTTATAGATTTTTTAAAGTTATTTAGTCGTGCTTAAACGCTGCATTAGTATCATTACATGACTAGATAAGGTATAATTGTTTTTTTGAAAACTCTACTATATCTATTAAAAGAGTTTTTTTAAATAAGAAAGATAAACAAAAACGTAATATTTAAATATTAAAAATATTTAATATCAAATAATTTTGGAGGATTCCAGCATGAAAATGAACGTTGCTGAATGAAAAGTTTTAAATAAAATAATATCAATACAAATATGAATTATATAATTTTCTTTTTATAATCGATGTCAGTGTTTAATTTAATTTTTTTTTAAGAAGACTTATTAATTAAAATTAAACCTTTGCATGACTTTATTTATATAGTTGTTATATTCATCTAAATAAAAATTAATAAATTTAAATAAATAATAAGAGAGTGATAAGAGTAGTTAATATATAGACCGAGGTTGTCATTTGAAGAAATGTTTTTGTTTTTTTTTGTTTTTTTTATGATTTTATTTTGTTAACAATAACTAAAAAATGAAACAGTCTTAAGAAGGCAATATTGTGTAATTCTTCGGAGACGTGGTGCAGAAAATAGTATGGCAAGCCTCACATACTATGTGAATCGTGTATTAATTCTTTTGGTTATAAACAATTTTTTTGTTTTATTTCAAATACTCTAAAATTGTATTAATTTTTTAAATAATCAACCCTGTGTTCGTCTCTATTTATACATTTATTAAATTTAGCATAAAAAAATTACAATAAACATAAAAAAAAGTGAAATAGATGTAAATAGAAATAGGACTCGAAACTTCATAATATTTAAATAAATGGAGCTTGAATTGATAACTGTAATTATCTTATTGAAAAAAAAATTATGACTATTATGATATTTTTTAATAAGAAAGATGAATTCAATATTTAAATATCAAAAATCTTAAAATTTATATATAAATTAATTTTATAGGATACAGAATAGAAAAAAGGCAGAACGTATATATTAAAAATTTTAAATGAAACAATTGAAATATAAAAAGCATACACTTAAAATATTATATAATTTTAATTATTATTTTTACTTTCAAACAATTTTAGCGCTTATTTTCAAATTTTCAAATATTAAATTATTTAGATAACTTCATAATGAGCCATTGGGGCTCGAAACTTCATTATATTTAAATAAATGGAGCCTGAATTGATAACTGTAATTATCTAATTGAAAAAAAAATTATGACTATTAAGATATTTTTTAATAAGAAAGATGAATTCAATATTTAAATATCAAAAATGTTAAAATTTATATATCAATTAATTTTATAGGATGCCGAATTGAAAATTGGCAGAACGTAGTTGATAAAAATTTTAAATGAAACAATTGAAATATAAAAAGCATATATTTAAAATATCATATGATACACGTTTTCAGAATTAAATAATTTGCTGACTAATTATTATATTAACATAACATATGACTATGTTTACCTACCTTATGTTATCTGAAAAAGGACAACTGGGAAATCCTCCTCCCTCTGACCTTTTTACCTAACTACCAAATGTAGTCAGTACTTGAACAACCTCAGTGCTCAAAACACAGTTTTAAGAGAAAATATTACAAATTTTTATAAATGAATTATACACATTATTTTTTATAACTATTTACATATTTTATTTTTAATATGTGTATTGCAATATAAGTTAAGATTCATGTACCATCAATCACTATAGTTTATTATGTACCATTATCGGTCGTATAATATTATATCCCTGATTGTATTTTTAAAAAATTCATATATAAATGAAGATGGCCCACATGTTTGGTTTAAAACGTAGGCATAAATGAAAAATTAAAAAGTTTTTTTTAAAAAGACTGAATTATTTATCATATGATCTGAACTTCAATAAGAGCCAAACTTGGTCTAAATGCCAAGAAACCCTTTGAAGAGAGAGCATGTATTCAAAGACATCATTATACTTCGACATGGCTATGTCAGTAAATATTAAGTTCAATGGCCAAATAAATTTGTAAGACAATCCCAAGCATGATAAAGCCTGAAAGAATAGAAGGGAATTTCTTAAAATGATCTGTTTACATTTAGTTATTAAGATTAATTTCAAGATACTATAAAATGGTTTTCAAGCTCTATAATATAATTGATGATTTTTATGAAGATGATTAATCTAGATGGCAACAACAGATATATGAACAAGATGTCAAACATTAAATTAAAAAAAAAAAAAGGATTGTATTACATAGATTTTAAAAACTTCAATTTCGTTATTCTGTGGCATACAGAGAAAAGGATGCAAAATAAATTATAGAAAATATTTACATGAATGTACATATATTACCATGATATGTAGAACAGTCGAATAACTTACTTCAATAAATTTTTTTTTACTTAAAATTTTTTAATTTTTATACAAATATTTGTACATCATTATTTATCTATTTGTTAAAAGTAATAAAAAATATATAATAAAGATTAAAAAAAAAAAATAAATAAAAAAGTGAAACAGATGTAAATAAGTTGTAGCAAGTAAGGAATAGATAAGAGAAGAGTGATAAGAGAGGTTAATATAGAGGCAGGGGTGCTCAGGTGGGGCCAGAGAAGTCCGGCAGTATAATAATGAATGAGGACTATCGATCAAGCCGGAGCCCGCGAAATATAGTTCCCGCCAAGAGGGCGGGGTCGCGGGGTGGGGGCCAGAGGTCGCGAGGACCAATGGCAGGTCGGGACACCGGGGTCGTCATGGCAACGCGGGTCGGGGTGGGGGACGGGGTCAGCCCTCAGTCCGGCCCACGCCCTCGACCCGGTAGTGTCTCTCTGTGCGCAGCTCTCGTGTTCTCCCTTTTACGTGTGACTATATCCTCTCAGAGTGGCTGTTCTGTGCGGGGCCCCCGGCTACGGGGGTGACTTGGGATTCCCTCCGAGGGGGCTGGTGCCATGGCGGGAGGACGAGGCACTCCTCTCCCTCAGGGGCGACACCCCGGGAACGAATTCGACCCAGAGTGCCGGCTCCAACGGCGACAAAGGCCAGAACATAGAGTGCGTAGTCTGCGGCGACAAGTCTTCAGGAAAACACTACGGACAGTTCACCTGCGAAGGTAAGTCAAGAAAAATTATACGAGATGTTATCTGAAAGAAAAGAAAACAAACGAAAGATCCTTAGAAAAGCCAAGATTATACAGTACGTCATAAACAGTATAGCTCATAAATGACTTCATTTATTATCACCTTATCGTTTTATGACGATGTAATTTTTTTTTGGTAAAAATTGCAAATTGAAAAAAAAAAATTGCTGAAAAACACAGATAAAATGTTTCTCACTTAAAACAACCCCCAAGTAACATCTTAACTTTTTTTTTAATCATCTATGATACGTAAAATTACGAAAACAATTACTTGTAGACGTTTATTTGTCTATTTGTTAAATGTAATAAAAATATATATATAATAAAGATTTTGTACAAAAATAAAAATAAAAGGTTAATGAAACACTTAAAACAACTCCTAACAAACTACCCAACATTTTTTTTAATCATCTATAATACGTAAAATTAAAGACAGTAATAGTGATAACACTATATACATTTTATATTTTAGGTAGGACATTCATGATTTTTTGCCATATTGTCAAAAAAATCAAATAATTATTACGTGGTACAGACTCCTTTTTATCATATAATTAATTAATATGTCAAAAAAATTTGAATCGCTTCATCTTATCGTAACCTATCTCTTTTTATCGATGAAAATTCTCATAAATGTTTCCTGATTAAATTAATTAATTTTAAAAAACTCCTGTGTACTCATTTCCTTTTCACTCGAATCGTAAAATAAGTTGATCACAAATTCCAGAAAAAAGGGCTACAAAAATATTGGGCCGTTTGGCCTATGGAAACTCGTTATTTTGACATACGTCAGAGTGGAAGTCGTTCCAATATTTTTCTCGATTTTACGATCAAATTCTGAGGATTTTCGTAAAAAAAAAGCTGTATATTACGATAAGAAGCAGCCATTCACGAAGTTTAAGACTGATATTAAAAATTTGATATTAGCGCTTCGGCACTTTAGAATAATATAATTTAAAAAAAAACAATTAATTAAATAGTGTATATTAATAACATTTTTTATAATCACTTCCTGAACCTCACTAAGCAAGATTCATTGAAAATTTTTTTTTTTTCAAACAAATAAAAATAAGACTAGTATAATCTCATATAATTATTAAAATATCAATAAAAATATACGATACATGTTCCATTAAGGGAAAAAAAATCTTGTTTACTGACATGTGTTCAGTTGCTGATAACTTATCAGTTTGACATCTACGCAGTAGAGGGCAAAGAAACGTCACACATTTTATTTTTGTATTCTCATTGCAAAAACTTTCATTAAAGGTTACATTGTAACATGGTGGATATAAATAGTATGTATATTTGAAAATTCATTTTGTATCGGAAAAAAATTATTTAATGATGATTTGGGTTGAAAAATATAATAAATAATAAGGAGTTAATTGAAAAATAGTCAAATTATAAAAAAACAACGAATATAACATTATTTTTTATAAACAAATTTAATAAATATTTTAATATAGGCATTACCAGAATAATTTTATAAATCCCATGTAAAAAAAATTTAAATCTTAAGCTACTTCGATAAAATTCTAAATATGGTATTTTAAATGGAATTATACGTATAGAAGTTATAATACAGTTCAATTGTCACGGAACAACATGATTGAATTAAAAAAAAAATTATGATTAATCATTAGAATTTTATTTACAAAAATGACGAATAAGATGATTAAAATAAACATTTCTATTTTATTAAACAATAAATTTCTCGAAGGTGTACAGGATACACTAAATTTTCTAAATATTTATTGATAAAATATATACGAATCTAAATTTTGTTTTATGGAATTCTATAAAAAAGTTATAATAAGTATTATGATATGCTTGTATTTTTTAGTTTTTATTAATTAATTAAGTGTATTCTTGAATTAGTTTATAAAATATTTTTAAAAAACAAAAAATATTTATATTTTGCCTATTCAGATCACTAGTAGATCTCAACGCTCATAAAAATTAAAAAAAAAATTAATATAAAATTTCTAAACGTGATCTTTAATTAGATTAAATTCAACAGAGAAAAATCTAAATGTTTGACAAATAGTTGTTAAAAAAATATGTTTGAAAATAATTCATTTAAATAAAATAATTAGTAAACAGAGCCGAAAATAATAACGAAATAGAATATATATATATATATATATATATTACTAACTGGCAGCGGATTGCAGACAGTATACACACGAATAGCCATATAATCCCGTTAAATCTCCCGCAGTCTTCGACCAAACGTGATCTAAGAACTTTTTTGTGTTGCACTGGCCTTTAACCCGTAACAATTCAGCTGGCAAACATTCCAATCTTATGGATATTATTATGTATCACATAAAAAATATTAGTTATTATTGTATAATAGGATCTATATTATTTTTAAATAATTATATAATTAGTAATGAAAATAATTATAATAATTGTAACTTATAATCAAAATTTAAAGTGTGTTGATGACTCATTTCCTACAATTTAAACTCCCTCTTTATTTTTAGGGAGAGAGACGAAATTAGGAAAATATAGAATATAAATAATTATAAACTAGGTTGAACTATTAATGCTAATTATAAGAATAATTACATATAAAAAATAGTTTAATTAATGAGGGATGTTTTTAGATAATTATTTAAATAATATCATGATTAATTTTTTTTTATTATTTATTTATTTATAAATGTAATAATCTATCACGTGGACAATAAGTATAGTGACATATGAACACCTTCCCAACATATGTTATTAAATAATTATATTTAATTTTTAATCTAATGTTTTAGTAGAACAATACAATATTTTTTATATATGTTATAAAATATGTGCATCATAAGAAATTTTGAAAAAAATATTTGAAAAAGTGCAAAACCCCAGACTCATTCTGGCAAAGTCCGTTTGAGTCGACTAATTTTTGTATTTAGATTATTTAAGTATCTCAGAAACTAAAAATCGTAAATCCATACTGTTAAGAAAAATAATGTTCAGAATATCAGCCACTTTGCAATGAGCTATTATTTGTGAGATAATAATATAGTTGTATTTTGACGCGACGCCGTAACTAAGAGGAAAAAGGAAAAAATACAGTTGTTTTGAATATTTGGAATAAGTTATCTCAAAATTTAAATACCACGCAACACTAGCGGATCCAAGATTTAATTTTGGGGAGGCTTCAGTCCGAAAGCATTTTTTTTTTTTCATAAAAATGACGATAATTACTTTGAAAAAAAATAAAGAAACTAACTACGTATATGAAATGGTATTTAATTGATTCCTAAAGCCCTTTTAAAAGTAATTACACGAACAATAATACTTTTAGAGATAATTATTTAATCTTTTTTAAAAAAAACATGATTATATTTTCCCAATTTAGGGAGTGCTTCAGCCCGAAAGCCCCCCTCCTAGACCCGCTCGTGCCACGGAGAATTTATATTTATTATAAAGATGTATTATAATAAGGTGAAGCAAGAACATGAAATATTTATATTTCATATTATTAATCTGGCGCTGTTGATATTTTCAGTTTTATCGTGTAGTCTTAAGTACACACCGTAGTTTTCATTTTACTTTTGCGATTTTTTGTGTTTCTGGTGTTTTGGACATTAAAATAAAGTTACTAAGAAAATATTTGTCTTATTTCGAAATTTTAGTTTCTTCATTTCGAAGTTAGGACATCCTTCACTTTCACTAGCCCGACCGATATAAAATAATCAAAACTTGCCGAAATATCGACTGCTCACTATAATTTCGATCAGTGTTGAAACAGGAGATGCTCTGGCTTTGTTCCGACCCCCGTATACGGACTAATTGTTTTGTCTTATCCTGTAGTTTTGCAAGGAGTAGCGTTGTTGAAACGCCTAGGTAACTCCTCGGCGACCTATATTCCAGGTAATACCTGCGGACCAAACCGCAGGGGAAGATTACCGCACTTACACAGGACCAGGTAATAATAGGCAGGATACCCGTCACGTAGCCTTCCTTTCTATATCACTCCTCGGTAGTTCTCGATTGGTTCACGGCTTCGGTAGAGTACACCGCCCGGCGGCATCGAAGGCTGCTCCGAAGTCTAAGATCAGACTTAACCGCCTCAATCTTCTTCATATATTTCAAACACTAAAATAATTCTAAGTTCGTGCTTTTTAAATGGAATTTTAATAAATAAACTTGCATGAAAACATTTTTTTTTAAAATAATTTATTTCTACAGATTTTTTTATTTTTATTGCATCGACAATGCAACGTGTCTTAAACTTTTGGAGAGCTTCATAATAACGTTCATAACAACACCCTTCCTATGTTAACAATAGTTTCAATAAAGACCTCAGTACTTAGGAACAGAAAAGTATTTAATACATGTCAAAAATAACTGCGCTGGACAGCTGATCATAATTTTATTCTTACAAAACTTCGCTATGAAGAGGAGAGGAGTAGATCCGTGAGTTATACAGTGGGTTGCTATGCTCAAGGGCTGCTATTGCCAATCTTAAGTCTGCTTACAAATATTGTACTGCAGATTAAATCATTAACTTCAATTATTCAATATAGAGAGATATTATTTAACAATGTTTGCCATTTTTTAATATATTATTTTATTTTTCAAGTTTATCATAAAATAAAATCTTTCTTTTAATAAACTATTTGTTTTCTTGTTCGCCCATCTTTCATTAGAGTTATTCAATAAATACAGCTTATAAATATTAACCAAATTAATAAAAAATAATACACTATTTTACTTTTCCCTTATAAAAAACAATGTTAAACATAATTATATACTATACATTAATCCTAACTGATCTTGGACAGTACTTAATGCTGTTTTAACTTTACTTTGTTATTTTCAGAAGCATTAACCATTAAGACAATGTTATAGACAGTAAAATTTTACAATACAGTCTAACAGACAGTGTAAATACTTCAACAGTATACATACTTTTGGGCTGAAACCGACCTCCCAAAAGTGGAAATATATTATAATTATTTTTTAATATTTTTTTTCGATAGAACATGGGTATATTTTACCATTTTGGGAAAAGGGGCTTCAGCCCCAAAGCCCTCCCCCGTAGATCCACCCGTGGTGTACTTCAATCTTTCTAAACTGCATATATCAGAAATGAAATTATTTTATTTTTGTTATCTAATGCATGTCTCTCTTCCAAGAAATATTACAGCTCTCCTCTACTTAAAACTGGTAGCTAGAAAAAGAAGGATGATTTTTTTTTCTTCCTCTGTAATTTCCGTTATTAAAAATCCAAATGAATTCGCGAATCCGGTAGTTAGTGTTGCCCAAAATCGGTCTTGGTCTTGCACTTTGCAAGACCAAGAACAAGGCCACCTAACTGTTACAAGACCAAGACCAGGACTGGTAAAAAAAATCGATTTTTTTTTTTAATTAAGGCAAAACAGTTACTAATACTTGACAATTTTAGTTACTATATGTAAAGAATTGGTATAACTAATACACTTTTGCATTTATCTCTTCTAATGTTTCATTCGAGGTTCCCCTATATAAAAAAATACAGTAATATCTCTATAGTACTAAGCTAATAGGTAACTGCAAGACCGTTGCAAGACTCTTGCGCAAGACCAAGATCTAGACCAAAACTGAGTTTGCAAGACCAAGACTGGTCTCGGTCTCGCATTCGGGCACCACCGGTAGTACTTCTTATATATCGGTTTTTCTAATTTGTTACTTGGTATCAATTCCTTCTTGACAGTAACAACGTTGATTTCCTCAACGCGATAACCTCTAATAAAGACGAATGTTAGCTCTCCAGGACATTCATCACAGCAATAAATAGGTTAATGCAGCGGACAACGCCTAAACCGGCGAAGTGGAGTAGCATAATTGGCCCGGTGGAGTCAAGTGTGTCCAGCCAAAGACACGGTGGTTAATAGGATACTGTCTCAACAAGGACAACCAGCCCCCTTAGCCAAACTATATGGCACCATATCCAGGATAAGTAACTACACAACCGGTCTTATCCATAACCGTAAATAGTAAGGGGATAAGTGGTGAAATACACACTGCTTAGGAGAGAAATGAATTATTATAAGAACATAGTCAGATAACTACATGTAATGTAATATCGGAACCTATCACCGGGAAGAGATGGGACATATTTGACTACAGAATACATTACAACAGTGGCGTAGCTAGGTCAACTGGAACTGGTAGAAACTTCAACATTATCACCACTTATAATTCCACGTTATCAGCTTCAATTCCACCCTCCGATTGAATATGTAATTGAATACAAGGTGTAGAAATTTGATATTGAATCATTAGTAGAATATTCCTTCAATATAACTTCGATTTTTTTAAAACTGTAGTTGTTTAAAAGAAAAATACATTTTAATGGAGAGAGATGGTCCAGGGTGGCGGTCATAAATAGGCTAAATAGTGGCAAAACTATTTTATTAAAAACCAACGTTTCGACTCGTCTTTACCTAAAGAAGACCTACAAAGTAGGATCGAAACGTTGGCTTTTAATAAAATAGTTTCGCCACTATTAAGACTATTTATGACTGCCACCCCGGACCATATCCTTCCTTTATAATGCAACGGTCAACTATTAAATATTCGATAAAAATACATTTTCCATTCTTAACTGAAAGTAGTGGATGGAATTGTAATTGTAAAGACAGCGATCAAGTGCTATGTATTGTAAACCTGTTAAATATGTATTATCGAGAAAATTATTTACGATATGTGTATTAAATATTGGCGCAAGTACTCTCAATTTCAATGCAGCCTAAGGTCCTGTAAAGTACTGCTAACTTCCTTAACGCATGGAGTAGATTATTGTAAAGCTTCTATGCGTTTGATTCTTTGTTCTTTATTTGTGAATAGTGTTGCCCAAATGCGAAACCGAGACGGGTCTTGGTCTTGAAAACTCAGTCTTGGTCATGGTATTGGTCTTGTGCAAGACTCTCGCAACAGTCTTGGTGTTACTTATTACCTTATTACTATAGAGATATTACTGTATTTTTTGAATAGGAGAAACCTAACATGAAATGAAAAATTAGAGGAGTTAAATGCAAAAGTATATTGGTTATACCAATTATTAACGTATGGTAAATAAAATTGTCAAGTATTAGTAATTATTTTGCCTCAATCTTTATTCAAAAAATCGATTTTTTTACCAGTCCTGGTCTTGGTCATGCAAGACGAAGACCGATTTTGGGCAACACTAATGGCGACTATTTACATACCCGATATCAGGAGCCTAGAAGGCTGAAAAGACGCTGGATGAAGGACCTCCTCGCTTAAAAATCCATACTAAAGTGCCGCAGTGCACTTCTTCCCCTCAAGTCGAATAATGCTATATGAATATTCTTCTCGACAGTAAAAAAAATCGCTGATTGTCAATATTTTTGAAAGGTGTGGATTATGAAATAAAGATTAAAAAAAAAAAAGACTTGAAATCTAATTTATTCTCTTAGACAACAGTTGAGTACTTCCTTACAATGTACTGAACCCAAGACCTTCCATATGTTGTAATGATTTATATTTTTTTTTCAGAAAATAATTATTTATGCACTATAACCTTTTAATATATTTCTGTTATAACATACACACATAACCACACAATCGCACGCCTAATCTCCGAACTCGTTTTTAACAAATAAAATAATAACCCTCAAGACGCGACCGCAGACGAAGGGGTAGACACCCCTAACAAGAATTATAACATGGAGGGGGGGCGCTGGGATGAGAGAGTTATCCAATCTGCTAATGGGTGGCTCCCCCACAGCTTTATACCACCTGACACCGCTAATTCATTATATCTTCTCTCCCAGGAAAAGGACCTTTTTTATTTTCTGTTTACAGATAATTAGTCCAGCAGCAGGACCTCTTGTTCATAGCGGAAAATATACTCCCTCCACCCCTCCTTGCTTTATTGGATTAAGGATTTGTAATATACGGACTCCGTGTCCTGAAATTATTATACAAAGGACTCCCCTTTCTGTCTCTCTTTTTTTTTCTACACCCACCACTTTTAGAATCGTCACTAAATCCATGGATTTCACTTAAATAGGATAGAAATGTTGAAAAAGTATTGATATACCGAAATATCTATTTAAATATATTAATATTTTAAGCAATATTTTTCCCATAAAAAATAAAATTGCCTATCAGGAAAACATACGTTTTACAGTACTCCATGCCGTGATTTTTTAATTAAGGTAACATGATTATTCATTAATTTTATTTAAGCATTAAAAGTCATATTTTACCAAACATATATATTAAAAATATTCATTTATAATTAATAATTAATTTTATTAAAACTTAAGCTATTTTATTGAATTTTAATATTTCTAATACTGGTTTCTAAATCATAGAAATATGTTTTCGTTTTCTTCATTGATAAATGGTAATGAATTCTTTTTTTTTTCTATTAATAATAAATATTTAATTGTTTTCATTAAAATCTGATACTTGAATGCAGTGTTAAATATGTTCCTCTTCTTTCGTTAGGAATCTTCAACATCAATATAATTAATAATGTTTGCAAAATCTTGTTACAGTACTTTTAAAACTTTTTGCAATAATCATGTTTCCTCTCAATTAACTGCCGAATTCGAACATTCCGAATTCTATTTAAAACAATGTACTTTTTTAATGTTCTATCCAAAAAACCTATTGTTTGCATACTTTTTTTTTTGAAAAATAGAGTTGTTTTATGTTCAGAAAATATCCTTCATTAAATCAATAAAGTGGAATTTCGTCACATATTATGGCAGTTCTGCAAGATATTTATAAACAGTAAGATATTTAAAAGTCAGACCTTAAAATTGTGAATATACTAAACAATATGAAAATTAGTTTTAAGAAATGTATACAGTTAACCGTTAATCAGACAACACTAATATATTGTTCAAAAATATACAGTTACGTCCTATCTTACCATCAAAAACTTTTGCATTTGAATGAAAACTCAGATCTAAAAAAAGTATAGCAGAAGAATAAAAAAGACTCAAGATGTGGAAATAGAGATAGACTCCTAGAATGTAGTAAAATAGAAAACACGATAATGAACTGTTCTGTTGAGACAGATGAAGGAAACAGATAACAAAAAAGAATAAAGAACAGCCCAAGAAAAAAAAAGTAAAAAAACGTTTCTCACGTGCTTTGTGTAAAACGGAGAGGAAGTGAAGAGATAAATTTAGAACAAGCTGGAGTTGGAGCTGGAGAGAAAGAAGTGGATGGACCAAGATGGATATTTCTGGACCAGGTTTCAATTGAGCACCAATGAAGAAGCTCAATGAATCACCAATACAAATTAGCGTCCATTTACCAAGTCAGTTCTTATTCGTTTATTCCTTGCTGTTCTTATTCTTCGAGAGACTCAAAATAGAAATAAAATATGTATTTTCTTTGAAATTATTTAAAGATCGCATACAGACCTGGGTATGAAAAGTACACGTACTCGTTGGTACGTCAACTTGATAATTACGAGTTTTATTTACGAAAATTCTTTGAATCAATCTGGAGATCTTCAAAGTATTTTTATTTAATTAGGTGCTAAAAACTCGTAAATACTGATTTGCTTTCCACTTAAATCGTAAGATGATTTGAGCACGAACTCGAGCAAAAACGTAGCTTTCAAAAATATTGGGCCATTTGGCCTATAAAACCTCGTTAATTTTACATTTTGGGAGTGTAGGTCACGCCAAACGGCTCAATATTTTTTAAGACTACTTTATCCATCTCTCGGTGTTTTGATCAAAGTATCATACGTTCCAAGTGGAACGGCAAATAGTTATATGCAAGTTTTTATTACCCAATTAAATAGACAAAGTTTGTCGACCTCCAGATTGAAAACGCCCCAGTTCCAAGAGTTTTCTTAAACAGAATATTTATAGGTTACGATGAGATGAAGCTATTCACCATGTTTCAGGCAGATGTTAATAATTTGATGTAAAGGGATCTGTACCACGGACTAATATTTCTGAAGTATTTTCTAATTAGGTCTTTAAATCTTTTAGAAGCTACAACTGCTATTTAATACTTATCACATGTTTTCGATGGCCTCAAAATTAAATGGATAACTATAAATTAAACTGTCGTATTCCTGAAAAGAATTTAAATTATTCATTTTTAAATCGTGTATTTTCCGAAATCCAAGAAGTCCTTCGACTTGTGCTGCTCAGTGATTTGATTAGACCCATCCTCAGGGAAGAATGAGCCACTGGCCGGAGGCTGAAGAGGAGACAGATTTCTGTAGAGGGGGGCGGTCGGAGAAGATTGGCCTGGCTAGGGGCCATGAATATTCTGCGGGAGGGGGCGCCCACAAATTAGGTAACAGTTGTTATGGATCACCCCGGGGGAATGCAATATCCCCGGGTCCTAAGGGGACAACTATCAATCAATAGCTGATGCTTCTTCCCCTTCACCACCACTTATTACCGTCACCGATTGAGGAATAATAAAATTCCCCATGTCGTTCCCCATGCACCCTACGCACACCCCACATCACCCATCACTTCATAAAGTCTTCTATCAAACTCAAACGTATGGATTCATACGCACTTCATGTTTACGATCTACTACGAGACACAGTGGTCCTATATTCAAGATCGAAGATTCGAATCCTGTTGTGTCAGGAAATTTTTTTATTTTGTTACACAAGCCGAGGATCTCCACTGGAATCAGATGGCCCTACTAGAACAGATCAAGGCTCTATAATAATTGATTTTCTTGTCCCAATGAAAAATATTCCTCTAGATCAATAATTAAATAATAAGATACAACCATCCTTGAACTTGCACTAATCCATTATTCAACTCACTCACAACCTATTTGTTTAGAGAAGTAGAGCAGTGCTTTTTAGGTATTTTATTTTCAGAGAGTATTGAAGACATACTAGATATATATATTTTTTTTT